AGAGGGGTGTGTGTGTGTCTTGGGGGGGCCTCCAGGAAAGTTTGCTGCGAATTGACGACGAGGCGGCGTGGAGACCTGCGGCGGCGGACGAGGCCAGGAAGCCGGTTAAAAGAATGGGAGAAGCCCCGTAGCCGGGGATGGCGGTGAAGGTGGGGTGGGGGGATCCGCAGCGCGGAGGCTTGGAGGGAGGGCAAGAGGAAGAGAGAGAAAAAAAAAGGGGGGGGAGAGGTTGGCTTGGAAATGCTGGTCCAAAGTTGGCCAGGGCAGGCGGGCAGCAGGAGTAGCGGCGGCGGTGGCGGCCGTGGGGGGAAAGAAAGGTGGCTGGAGAGCGGGTGGGGGCGCGCACTTAATGGGAACCACATGGAAGCGACGCCTGGGCCAGGGATGGAGCGGCGAGGCCGGCGTGGGGAGCTGAGGAGAAGGCTGGAGAGGCGGAGTGAGGGAGAGAGCGCGAGGGAGTGTGTGTGTGTGTGGGGGGGAGAGAAAGAGTGCCAGTATTAGGGGGGCTCTTGCCTCACTCACACCCCCTTGGCGAGGGAAACCCAGCTCGGTAACTGAGACCGTCCCGGGCTTGGGATGGCCAGGCTGTGTGTGTGTGTGTTTGTGTGTGCTGTGGAGAGGCGTGTGCACAGGTAGTCGGATAGCCTCACTTCTTTAGTTCCACTTTTTCCCTCAGGAAGGTCCGGCTGGCCGAAGGGATAGGGCAGAGAGGGCGCTTTGGCGGACCTTGGCAACACAACACAACTCATACAGCCCTAATATCGAATTCATGTACAGTATATGTAGAGGGCGAGTGTGCCCTCCTCAAAACGAGGGGAGGGCAGGTGTGTTTGTATGCATGAGCGGGGAGGGAGGGAAAAGAGTGTGGGGAAATGGTGTTATGTATGTTGGGGTGTGTGTATGTGCGTGAGTGAGACAGAACCTTAGTTAAGTCAGGTAGCCCCTCTTTGGCACGCCGGAGCGCGCGCAGTTTGCAAAAGAGCAACGAAGAAGTGCAAAAGAAAAAAAAAAGGCGCGCCACTTTTGCAAAAGCTGAGGAAAGGAACTATTGTAATCAGATCTAGTTCAAGGTGGTGCTGGGGGTGGGAAAGAGGTGTAGAATGGGGGGGGTTCTTTGCAGAGGAGCTTGAGAATAGACTGGAGGGGGTGGTGGTGGTGGTGGTCCAGAAGGCACTTCTATTGGTGAGTCCTGGGGAATCACCATCCAAAGGATCAGTTTCTCTCCGTTGCAGCTTCTTTCTGCAAAACCTCCAACTGGAAACAAAACGCATCTTATTTGCCCTTTCTGCTCTTCCCGCCAGCTTTTTGTCTTTAATGCCTTGTAACACAGCCAGTAGAAAACCCCATACTTTCGAAGGTGCCTCGAAAGGATGTGCATGCAGGCTGTGCATTGCTTCCTGAACCTCCCTCCTACTTTTGCATTCCTGGAGGATAGCTTTTATTTTATTTTATTTGAGGCCTGGTAGGAAAATATACTGTAAAGCAAGAAAGAAACAAACCTGGAGTAGGATTGTTTTTATTTGTGGGTGTTGGGGGAGGTTTGGATGGTTGGAAGGGGAGGAGGAGGAGAGAGAAAGGACCCGGGAGGGAAGAAAAGAACGAGAAGAAACCACAGCCCAAACAAAATCCCGAGCAAAACGCCAAAAAGAACAGCTCCCTTGCACGCTTGGGCTTCTTGCGAGGAAGCCGTTTGCGCGCGTGGAGCGAGGCGACAGGAGGAGGGGAGGGAAGAAGTGCAGTAAATGTGCGTGAGAGAGAGCGAGAGCGAGGGAAACAAGAGGCGAAGGGGGCCGAGGCGGAGAGGCTGTTGGAGGGGGGGGAGAGAGCGCGAGGAAGAAATAGAATATGTATGTTATATTTTTCGAAAATTTAAATAAATAAATAAGTATATATACACATACACACCGTCTCCCTTCCCCCCACTCCGCAAGCCCGAGACTAGCAGCCATCTGCCAGCAGCGTTGGGTGACAGCGGCTTCCCTCTTTTTCCTCTCCTTTGTTACAGCTGATAAAAATTGTTGTTTGTGAGAACGCATCGGAATTGTGATCGATTGGCGAATGCAGTCGCTCGACCCCGGATGGCTTTTGGCGGCTCGTGAATTTTATTTTATTTTTTTCCTCCCTCCCCCTCTAAAAAGAAACCCCTTTGCTGCTCTCATTTTCTTTTTTTCCTTCCATTCTCTCCCCCTCCCCACTTTATTAAGCTGCAGCACCCACGAAGATGCACTTTGGGGATCGGCCTTTTCATTGATTTTTTTTTCACCGCTTATTTTGCAACTGGGGAGTTGATGAACCAACAAGGGGGGGAAAGTGGATTTTGAAAAAACAACAACAGCCAAACAAATCCAAAACAAACCAAATCCAAAACACCTTCTGAGCAAACAGCATTTTTCCTTTCCTTTTCTGTTGTGCTTAAGAAAACCTAGCCGGTTTGTAAATTATCTTCTTGCTCTGGGAAAGGGAAGGGGGGGAGTGTTTTTTTTTAATCCCATTTCTCTTTGTGTGTATGTTTGTTGAAAAAAAAATCAAGATTACTCATAGCAACTCTTTCTTGTTTTGTTTTCTGCATTATCTTGCATGGGGAGGTTTTTGACATGGGGAGGGAGGAGAGAAAAGTGTACTAATGCATGGTAACAATAGGAAAGATACAGTAGTTAATAGGACAGGCTTGTTTTATTAATTTTTTTTGAAGGTTGAGATTAAGTTGGGTGGGCTTGCCCTCCCCCCTTGTGGAAAGGTATACACTGTGGAGGTAAACATAATTTGAGATGGGGTGGACAACATTGGTTTTGGAAGGTTACTCCAAAGACTATCACTGGATGGTGCATAGATACTTAGATTGTAACAGGGACAGAGAAACTGTATGTAATTTGTGTTCTTTCCTGTGTTGCATTCAAGAGGTATCAGAATGGCCTCTTGAATTGGACCGGAAAATCAGGTGTGTGTGTGTGTGTATGTATAGGGGGGGGACAGATAACAGCAGAGAGGTGATGGGCTTAAATAGTGTGTGTGTATGTCTCTGTGTCTAGATGGTGTGGGGAGAAACATAAAATGCAATCCTTGTTTGAGCTTGTAAGAGTTCTAGAGAGATGGTTTCCACCAAGTAGGAGTTCTGTATGGTAGAATAAGAACTCAAAAAAGAAAGGAAGACCTCTAAAGAAGTTTGATAAGCACACACACAAAACCCACATAAATAAGTTATCCCCCCTCTTTTTTTTCTGACTGATTCTGATATGTTCTAAGAAGGGGAACTATTTGATGGATTACTATCAAGCAAGATGTCAAGAGATTGGTTTTGCATTCCCAAGCACACTGTTTGGATTGGGGAGGGGGGGCTTGTTGGGAAGGAAGGTGGTGGTGGGGAATGGTTCTATTTCAAACCTATTCATTGGAGTTTCTTAGATTCCAATCACTGTATATGCTGAAAGGCAACTTGAATGGCAAACAAACAGAAAGTGAAGATGAGAGAAAAATAGGCAGTACAATCTGTGTAAATCCTATGTCTTTTTACTCAGAAGTAAGAATTCTTGTATTGAGTGGGGTTTACCCCTAAGCAAGTATGCATAGGATTTGCAGTCTTAAGGGTACAACCCTATATTCAGAGTAGATCTACAGAGATTTTTGTTACTGTATACGGCTGTCTGACTTTTATTGCCATGGTATTTTTTATTTATTTAGTTGAGAGAAAGGCTGCTGTAATTCCTGGACCTTCATCCCTCTTCCTAAATGAATCCCAACCTATTAACTATAGATGAAGAGCTGATGAATGAGCAAATTTGGATTTGTCTCCAGTGAGAGCTGGAACAAATGAAACAGTTACATAACATTGAGAAAGTGAAAATGGGATCGTGACTAAAACCCAGACAGATACTGTATGTTCTAGAGCCTTTCTGTGTGAAAGACGACCAGCTTATCTGGATTTCCACAACACTTTGTCTAGTTGAGAAGCTATAACAGACCTCAGAAGTTTGGATTATAAGAATGAGGTTGATATATTAGAGGGGAACCAGATTAACCTTCCTGATGGTGAAATGACCTTCGTTTATACATAAACCGGGGCTGAACCCACCTGAGGAAACTCAAAGGCTGTGTGCATGTAGAGACAGAGAGGGTGGTTGGGGGTGAATAAAAGAAACAAAAACATCAAAACATTATTGGCCAAAAAAACTTCAATCCGATTTCTTAAAGTCTTTGGCTAACAGGTTATTTGCCAAGGTTACTGTTTCTTCCTACTAATCTGTAATTGTGCCCACCTGATCTTCCGGGCAATAGAGAGAAAGAGAGAGAGAGAAATCCACCTTTTATTTATTTTTTATTTGTCTTCAGGATTTCTTTTAGTAGAAGAATTTCTGCCACAGAAGAGGAAATCAGGGAAAGTGATCAGCATAGTCTGTCATAGCTGATAGGTGTAACTGAAGAATTAGCTAGGAAGGAAATTGTAGAGATGGTTGCATTTTTTAGCATACCTGTAGGGCTGTAACATATGCATGATCTCTAGCAGGTGTTGCAGGCTGAGTTAAGGAAGGACTTTGGAAATATTTTAGTCTCCATTATCTGCATCTGAGCTGCACTGTATCAGGTTGTACATGATACTTTTTAAACTTAAAATCTCAAGGTTTTAATTCCTGTTTTTATTTTGTTATCACCTGCTCCTTGCTCAGTA